AGCCATGAAAAGAGCAAGAGTTGTGCAAAAAGAGTTAACGTTGGGAAGTACTGTCAAACACAAGTGTTTGATTTAAGCCAGCTAGAGTAGCAAGTGAGGTGTGTTAGCTGTACAAGGAGGAAGGTACCAAGGCACCAACATCCATCTGGAATTCGTTGCTTAGCCTTTCTCAGCGGGTTGGGCTGTTTGTTCAGGAGCTGGGGCTAGTAAGTGCTCCTGCCTCTCATCTAGCTTCACATTCCAGTTTTGGGAACTAGGCAAGCAATTGGCATCATGTCTCTAATTGCAAAAGTCAGCTAATCATTGCGGGAACAGGGAAGGAAGAGAAGCATGTGGGAGGGGAAAGAAGGATGGACCCCTAACTCATGCTCATCTGTGAATATCATAGCCACAAACAAAGCAACACAGGCATGGTTGGATGAAAACCACCTGCGTTCCTTCTGCCAGTATCATTCACTTTCCATTCTTTTGGTAGCAAAGTTATTTGCACTGTGGTGCTTGGAGGCAGTCAGGGTTTACTGCATAGGGTTGGTGCATAGTTTAGTTGGCCAGCTATGCATTGGTGAAGGAGCTTTGGACATCTCTTGGAATAAAAAAGGCCTGAGCTAGGCACCAGGGTAGGGAGGTCTTAGCTCTTCATCTTAGGATCCTTCAGCCCCATCCCATGGGTGAAACATCAGAACTGATTGAAGTGTTTGGGGACTGGTGTTAGCAACTGTTGATCCTGCTTTTTGTGACACACCTTTCCCAAAGTGCTGGTTATTGTACTTGACTTCCTTCTTTACAAGCCAAAGGTCTTAGTCTTGCCTGTGCACTTCTCTAGACTCTGTAGTGACTCTGCCATAGAATTTTTTCTTGCTTTTACACTGTTAAGGTCCAGAACTAATTTAAAGGACTCGTGCACCAGGTTGGTTACCTTGAATGTACAAGTAAATACTCAAGCAAATGTCCAAGCCTGAGACCTCAAAGACCTTAAAGCATTCAGTGTTAGAGGTGGCCAGAGCAAATACATCCTAAAGCAATGGGGAACATCTCTTGGGTGACCAAGGAGTTCTGTTGGGAAGTTTGTTCAAAAAGAGTATAGCTGTCTTGCTGATTCATCCATTGCCATGTTCAGCAGTGATGGACCAGGTCTCGGGTTTAAGGTTAAATTCATATATCCAGCTCCCTTGAAACATTTTTTTCATTCTTCCATGATTTAAGTGTTTTATTTATCTGTACTCTAAGAGTATATAATAGCCACTTCTTTTCCATGGCAACGCCTGTTTCCAGAATTTGCCATCTGGTGTTTCATGTTTTTCTCTCTCTTTCCTTTTTTTTTCCTTTCTTTTTTTTTCCCTTTTTCTTTTTTTTTTCCCCAAGCAGCTCTAACATTACTCATTCTGCATCCATTTTGACTTCAGCATCTGAGTGACATTTTCTTTATTGCTCATCAGAAATTTCAGTAGGTCTGTATTCTAAGCCCTCTGCAGATGTATAGCTAATTAAGCTGGCTATATTCCTCTTTAGAAGAAGAGAAATGCTGCTTCATGTGAAGTATTGATGGACTACAATATTCTTGCAATTTTTGCTAGTGTGGTATTTATTTATATGGTATGATTTTAATACTTTTTCTCTGACAAAAACTTAAAACATCTGCACTTTAGACAATGTAAATCATATAAGCAATAAGTGCATTTAAAAGACTAGGCAGCCAAAAACTTCTTGTCTATAGTTTAGCAGTCTTTGCTTATTTTTCTCTACAGAAAAAATAGAAAATGCAAAAGGTAATGTCATACACATAAAAAAACAGGCCTGCAAATAACTGCTAATCAGTGCTCTTTTGGTCCTCTCAATCTTCCTCCTAAGTTCCTTCCTATTGCCTTTTTACAACTATTTGATCTTGCCTTTACATGTTTTTTTAATTGCTGCCTTGGAAACTGCTGACATGAGGGTGGTACAGGCCCTCAGTGTGGGAATCTTCATAGGGGCAGAAGGATGCCAATAGCAGTAAGATTACTCCCTTGAACTTAGAGGAACGAGCTCTTATACCAAAGGAGTTAGAAGACCATGAGTTGCTTTCTAGCAGAAGCTGTGGTTGGGCAAGAATTCCTGAATGCCCGGGATAGACAGTCTTTAGCCTGAGGAGGCAGCAGGGACCTCTACTCTGTCAAGTGCTGCGGAAACCCAGATCCCACCCGGAGCATGTTGTGGACATCATAGTTCTTAGTTTTTGTTTCTTGGAGAGTTGTCATGCCTGTTATTGCCAGACCAGAGAATTAAAGAGTTGAGAATTCAGCTGCCAAGAGTCATGTTGTAGATTAAAATACCATGGAATTTAAAAATAAACAGAAAGTGTGCTAAAATTCTAACTTGGCAACAGAAACTCAGCAGAGGTAAAGTCGATGTCCACTAGGAGTCAAATGGGGCTCAGTTAGGCTCCAGATTGTAGTTTTTTTGAAATAAACAAAGAACTTAGGCATGCTTTTAGTCTGTTCTGGAAAATGAAAATATTATGCATGTTTTTTCCCTCAATTTCTTTTGTCTTCCTAGGCACTTAAAAAATAAAAAACCCCCAACATTAATGACATAGGCAGAAAATTAGAAAATACTTAGCTCAGTGCCAGTCAGTCCTAGGCAAAGCAATTAATTTGACCCCCCTGGTTTTGAATACTGTAATTGAATTCCCGTAAGGCTGTCGCACACCTCCACAACAAACGACCATACTGCTAGCATGGTGGTACGTAAAAGGAATACCAGTGGACACTGAGGTCTGTGCAGTTCTGCCCATGTATTACTTGAGGATCAATTAATTGTTTTCTTACAAGTTACAAAGTAGGTGCGGTTATTCACTGGATTGTAAGTAGGTATCTCAGAATCATACTTGATAGTCAGGACGAAGAAGTATTTCAATGCAAACCTATCACCTTTATAGTAAGTGTGTAAAATCTGTTTTAAGATATGAATTTTTCTGCCTTCATGTGAAGATGATGTGGGATACAGGTTTAAAGTATACCCCTTCCCGCAACAACTCTAGGCAGGGGGCAGCCGCGGGCGGCCGGGAGGTGCGCGGGGTGCACCCCCCCCCGCGCTCCCCCGCCCCAAGGCGTCAGCCTCCCCCACCGCCTGACCCCCCCGCAGGGACGGGTCCTCCGCCGGGTGAGAGGCGCCGAAGCCCGGGGCGAAGGCCGGTGGGCTTTGGGGTCCCAGCTACTTCCCGGGGGGCGGCGAGAGACCCGACAAGGTGTCTGGCGTTACTCGGCGAGTGACTGGCCACCCGCTTCTGCAACCAAGCTGTAGGCTGTGACCGCTTTAGGAAGTTTCGTGCACAGGTTGGGTTTGTACGCTTGCTCTGCCGCAAGCTGCCAGCGGCTTGGAACCTGTTGCTCTGTGCCTGGAGCGCTAGGACGCAGGGGTTGGACGTTCTGAAGTAGAATAGACCGAGTTTTCAAACACTACAAA